CTGCTTTATTTGGTATGTCTATGTTAATTTTCTTTTCATATTTTGAGATGTTACGAAATAATTTATTTGAACAATATTCGTTTCAAAATTAAATTTCCTTGCTTTCCTCAAGCAACCAATCAGGGGTATTAGGATCCTTGGAGCATTCATTTCTGATTTTTCAATGACATTGAAATAGCTTAGAAATTGCTTCCATTTCTTTTGTGCTGTGACTTTAAAATCTGATTTCGAATTTGGTTCCAATAATTATGATTGATATATTACTTCATCTACAAAATGGATGAAACTACATGATCTTTCACTAATAACGTTATTCTTTGTTCATGGTTTATGCTTCTTAGCCTGCATATTTTCAGGAAAAGTATTTTGAGAATTTACAGATTAGTTCTTTTCCTTTTTTCCCTCAATACACATTAGGTCTTTGATGATACCATATTTTAGCAGATTTTGAGGAGCACAAAAAATTATGAATGGAAATCTAATGTTATGTTGTTTTCCTCTCTTTGAGCATGTGGGGTTAATGCACAAGTCGCTTTCAGGACCATTCTTGTTTGCCAAAATAGTAAAAGAAGACTAAAGGTTTTACCTTTCCTTTTCCTCCTTCCCATGGAAGAAAAAAGGAAAGTAGCTTGTTTGGCCATTTGCTGGCCTCATCTGTTCACTGTTAATCTGCAAGCTTTCCGGCAGTGAGTTTCATCAAAGATAAAAGAAAGGGGAAAGTAGTCTTATAAAGCAACTTATGATTTTCCTTTTGCTTGATAAATTGGTTTCTCTGGCTCTTTTCAAACCTCAGGTCCATTCTATGGTTTCTTAAAAATGGTTCTTTCTGTTCTTTTTGCAAATTTTATATTTCATTCAAACCGAACAAATCATAGAGTAGTCTTCAATTTTTTGTTAATGAAGTTGCTCCTGTATTCCCTCACTAATTTTTTTTATCGTTTCTTTTTCTCTTTTTTCAACTTCTATCTTTTTCTTAGTGAACCTTTTTTTTTCCCTGTTTTGATTTTTAAGGCATAAAATTGAGCAAATTTTTGGGTTTCCATGATTATTTTTGCGATTTTCCCATTATACCCCTTACTGGACACCTAACATTGACTTTGTCAGCTTACTAGTAATCACTTCCTTTTTCTTGTCGGTATGTGATAATTCTACTTGCTTAGTGTACCCTATATTAAAAGGCATTGCTTTTGAAAATGTACGGCAGACTTACCACAAAATTGAGAAAAACAAAAGTATCCTGCCCTCCCGTTTGGTTCATGTTACGGATTTGAGGGGAAATCCCTTCCTATGTCATTTCCCAAGGGATGGGAAATGAAGATTCCTTTCCCATGTTTGGTAATGCTGGGAAAGTAATCGGGAGATATCATTTTTTTTCCTTTCCCATTTTTGTTTTGAGTATGAATGGAAAACAAAGTTTGTATAATTTTCCAATTATACCCATATTAAATCAAATAAAAAAACATTTGAATGATATATATTGTAATTCTAAATGCATAATACTGTTGAATTCCTTGCAATTGTGGAATGTTTGTGTATTTTCAGTACTATATTTGTCCTTGTACTTAGCACAATACTGTTGAATTCCTCCATGCACTAGAATCTTCATAGTACTATGATGATGAATGATATTTCCTTTGAGATTGTTTAAAATTTTGAAGTTCCAGAATACCAGTGTGCAATTATGTATGTGTCCATGTGTATGTTTGTTTTGAACTTTTGATTGATATGGCTTATTTACGCATTCTTTCTTACACTTGTTTTATGTTTTCAGCAGACGTGCTCGATATGCTTAACTAAAATGAAACAAGGAGGTGGCCATGCTCTTTTCACCGCAGAATGTTCACATTCTTTCCACTTCCACTGCATCACATCAAATGTCAAACACGGCAACCAAATTTGCCCAGTTTGTAGGGCAAAATGGAAAGAAATCCCAGTGCAGGGTCCTAATCTGGATCCTCCTCCTGGAAGGGCAGCTATCGGTCCAGTTGGTTGGCCTCAGAATGATGCTTTGGTGACTATGGTTCGTCGACTACCTCCTCCTCGAAGAGATTTGAGCCGTCGACACATTGTGCCACTGTATCAGGCCCATGAGCCAGGTGTCTTTAATGACGATGAATCCTTAGATCACCAACCTGTGTTTGATGAGAGAAGCTCTTGCAATAAAAATGGCACTGGTGAAAATTTTTGTAGGACAATAGAGATCAAAACATTCCCAGAGGTTTCAGCTGTTCCAAAGTCCAGTTCTTATGACAATTTTACCGTTTTGGTCCATCTGAAAGCTGCTACTTCAGTTACAAGACAGAATCCTAGCAGAAACCAGTCTAGTTTGGCACAATTTTCTCAGACTCATCGTGCTCCAGTAGACCTAGTCACGGTGCTTGACATCAGTGGTAGCATGGCAGGAACCAAGCTTGCATTGCTAAAACGGGCTATGGGGTTTGTAATACAGAATCTTGGCTCCAATGACAGGCTCTCAGTCATTGCCTTCTCTTCAACAGCCCGTCGTCTCTTTCCCCTCCGCCGAATGACTGACACTGGACGCCAGCAGGCACTGCAAGCTGTTAACTCTCTGGTTGCAAATGGTGGGACCAACATTGCTGAGGGCCTAAGAAAGGGTGGCAAGGTATTGGAAGATCGAAGGGGAAAGAATCCTGTTGCCAGTATAATACTGTTGTCTGATGGGCAGGACACTTATACTGTCAGTGGCTCTGGGGCTAACCAACCTCAACCAAATTATCAGTTGCTCCTTCCTTTGTCTATTCATGGTGGTGACAATACAGGCTTCCAGATTCCAGTGCATGCATTTGGATTTGGTGCAGATCACGATGCATCATCAATGCACTCAATTTCAGAGATATCTGGAGGGACCTTTTCTTTCATTGAGACTGAAGCTGTCATCCAGGATGCATTTGCACAGTGCATTGGGGGGCTTTTGAGTGTTGTGGTGCAAGAGCTGCAGGTGGCAGTTGAGTGTGTGAACACAACTCTCTTCCTTGGTTCACTAAAAGCAGGAAGCTACCCGAGTCGGGTGATGGCTGATGGACGCAGAGGATTTATTGATGTTGGAGATATGTATGCAGATGAAGAGAGGGATTTTCTGGTTTCAGTTAATGTCCCAGCAGAGTCTTCTAGCAATCTGACATCATTGATAAAGGTGAGATGCATTTACAAGGATCCCTTAACTAAAGAAATGGCAACAATAGAAAGTGGAGAAGTTAAAATTGAGAGACCTGAAGTAGCTGGGCAAGCACTAGTGTCAATAGAAGTGGACAGGCAACGTAATAGGCTCCAAGCGGCTGAGGCAATGGCACAAGCACGGGCTGCAGCTGAGCTGGGAGACTTAGCTGGTGCAGTTTCAACCCTTGAAAATTGTCGAAGGGTATTGTCAGAGACTGTGTCAGCAAAATCCAATGACCGCCTTTGTGTAGCATTGGATGCTGAGCTCAAGGAAATGCAAGAGAGGATGGCAAGCAGGCATGTGTACGAGGCATCTGGGAGAGCATATATTCTTTCAGGACTGAGCTCGCACTCATGGCAACGAGCGACAGCAAGAGGTGACTCCACCGACGGTTCAAGTCTTGTTCAGGCCTATCAAACCCCATCAATGGTTGAGATGCTTACTCGATCTCAGGCTATGCTGTTGGGTAGTCCATCAGCCCAGCGGCTTGTCCGACCATTATGTTCACAACCAAAGCCGAGGTAATCATATAGGATTGCTTTGGGTAGTCCATCAGCCCAGCGGCTTGTCCGACCATTATGTTCACAACCAAAGCCGAGGTAATCATATAGGATTGCTGTGTGCTCATCTTTTTTTTTCCCCTTTATTTTCAATTTTCTTTGGGAGAAGGAGATAAAATTAAAGAGATAAGGAGAGGTTTTTTTGGCTGTGATTTTGCCTCCTGCCTTCTATATGTAAATCAATAAAAAAAAAAAAAAGAGGAACATGATGAAAAAGGTATAATTGGGAAGGAAAGAAGAAAAGGAACAAGTAGAGTAGGGTTTATAACATTATGTATTTCCTATTGTGTTGTTGTTGGTTGGTGTACATAAAGAAAAATGGTTTTCTCTATGAGGGAATGGGTACAAGTATGTAATTGTCAAAATGGTTCGGGTGAGCCCTTCACCTCATATGTAATTTACGTTCTCTCAATTCATTTGACAAAGTTTTGTTCAAATTATGAGTAGTTTTCATCTGTGTGCGAACGGATTCTTTACATGTATGAGGCATGCATGGAATACATCTACTCGATTCGACTCTACAATTATTTTCTTCTATGCCATTGTCATTTGAGGATGTTGTTTTCTTTTTGTAATGATTTCCAACAACTATGACCAAAGGATGTTGATGTTGAGAAACATACAAAAAACACGAAAATGTGCTTTTATAACTCAAAAAACATTCTTAGCTATTTTATGTCGAGTGCTAAAAAAGCACTAGCGGCCTTCTGAAAAACTCTCAAAAAGGCTCTTGAAGCATCCATGAACACCAAAAATGTCTGCGATCAATCGAGGTGGGCGCAACGCAAGGTATAAAAACGAAAGTTCCAAGATTTGCCCATAGAAAGAGCATTAGAAACCCAAGCTTAAGAAACGCAGTCTAACTGTACAACACAGTGCATGACATCAAAATCTTGAAGCACCACAATGGGTTCTACCGCAGTGGTGGTGACTTCCCTCTTCCCCCATGGCACCCCGTTCGAAACCCCATGCGTGCACATTGGTGCTTGAGCCCCCTCCCCTTAAGAGTAGTGTCGTTGTATATAAAAAAAAGAAATAAAAACTTAAAACTAAAATTGAAATGGTTACCAAACGGGCAATTGCCTGTGACCCAAAAAAATGGCTCCGTTTTTACGTTTTGGTTTATGTCATGCATGCATTCCCCTGTTTTTTTATTCCACAAACAGCTTCTGAGTTCTCTGCGGCTGTTCTCTTATTCACAACTTGCTGCAGGCCTCTGTTTTCAACCAAATAATTGCACATCGCAGGCTTATAACAAGACAAACATCAAACATGGTGCCAATTTTTTATTAATCAAAACGTAAATTCCCTTAAACCAGATTAAACCCAACAAAAAAACAGAGTTAGTCAGTCATTACAAAACCTACAAAAATTACATAATGGCATAAGCTCAAATGCCACACAACAACACAGAGAAATTGCACAAGACTTAAAGACTCGGCCTTTAGGCTGATTTGCCTTCATTTGGACGCGGGATTTTCTTGTAGTCGTAGTTGTTTATGTCCACCTTCTCTTGCAAAGCCTATAAACAAACAGAAACCAGAGAAACAAGAACTGGGTTAGCAAAAGCACTTTTGTGGCTACTTCTGGCTTATGGCTTATGGGGAAATTTGTACCTTGAGCTCTTCCTCGAGCGATGTCTTTTTTGGGTTGTAGGCGTCCACCGGCCCTGTTCTCGAAAGTGCTTTTCTTGTCTCAATTATCTCCCATTCCTGATCGTCTTTCACCTTCGCAACGTCCTTGCCGCCTTGTATCATATGACCCAGTCCGACTGCACCGAACACGGTGAGCGAGATCATCGGAAGTCCGTATCTGATAAACGGGTGCCTCCTGCCCCACCTCTTGAACGTCGAGTTGATCACAGGGTCGCTTCTTGCTGTCTCAACGCTTGGCATCGCCACACCCAACACAATCAACGCCCAAGCTAATTGAATTGGGGTTTTAGGTTCTCTCTCAACCCGAATTAAGATGGTGAAAACTGCTCGACTGTGAAAATGGGTATGGCTTTGGGGCTGGCCTGGGCGTGGTATTTTTTTTTGGGTCAGACGATAGGCCCAAATCAATGTCAAGTATAACGGCGTCGTTTTGCGTGCTATTGTATTAATTACAAATCTATAGGTTGTAAGAAGATTTCCAAATCTTATTCGTCAGTGCTGAGGCCATTTACTTATTTTTTACGAGCCTTTCCGTATGAACTTTCGCGCCGACAAGAAGTGTTTTTTAAAAAATTTAAAATTTATTTTAGAATTTAAAAGGATAATGAGTAGTTGTGTTTCATAAAAGTAGGATCCATTATTTAAATTCTCTTTTAATTTTAATTTTTTTAATATGAAAAAGTGTGAATTTATCATATTATTCTCATTTAATTAATAATTTCAATTCTTAATGTTTGCATTAGCCAAGGGCATTTTCTGGTATTTTGAATGTTTCACTATTCTCTGCCTTTTACTTTATATATATAGATTATACACAAGTTATAATTTAAACAGTTTATTTGGGCAAAAAGAAAGAAAATGGGGCAAGTTCACTGCCATTACTAAATCGCCTAACTCATGTCTGCGACAATGGACGACGAGCCTAATTTGTTTTAGTAATTCTCAATTCCAAGAAATAAGAATTTTTATATGTTCTATCAACTGAATTCTAAGGAGGTGCAATGTTTCCTGAAATAGAACGGAATATTAATTCATGGTAATTCTAATAGGAATAATATGGGATTCACAATGTGCTTGAACTAAAACCATTTGGTGCAATTCCAGAAAATATATACATGTCATTTTTTTTGCTGCTGCAATTGCATCTTTAAGTTTCCAAGCGGTCCAAAACCCTTCTTAGCCTGCTGTTTGCTACAATTACAACTGCCAGTGTTCAAATTTTTACCACAACTGAGACACGAACCCTTGCAACTTGGATTACATGTTGCGGTGATGGTAATCTCTAGATGCACCATGTCTCTTATGTGCTTTGAAATATCTATTTCTTTGTCCCCGGGGCGAAAATACAGCTGATCCTCAAAATCAATTGTGCCTTCATCATCTTCCTCCCCTTGGCCACCTATCCCAGTGTCCCCATATATCACTCCCATATTGATGATCTCAGGTTCTTCAATTGGTTCATCAGTTAGGAGAAGGGAGAAGTTGGAGAAGATGCACTCGGCCGCTGGATCTTCACACCTTCAACATAAACACAATCTTTAATCAGAGGAAATAGCATACCTTAAAGAAAAGATAGATGGAAATAATATAGTCGATATTTCCATTAACCTGCTTACAAGCAATAAAACATAGAACCAGTCTTAGTTGTTAGAAGATATGGATTGCCAGGAGAGGTGAATGCAAAAGTAGAAGTTTAACAGGAGCTCTTGCTAGGTACTGGTATCTTTTCATCTTATCTTTCTCCCCTTTCCTGATTTAACATCTAAAGCTGATAGGCATGAGGCATCTCACCTAGGAAAATGGCAGGTTTTCAACAGTGAAACATTTGCTCACTATTTGCAACAACCCATATGTCTAGACCTGATCTAACGGAAGTGACGGATTTTTTTATCAAACACAACCTGTGTTTTCAGATGGGCCGTAACTGCTAGTCTCAAAATATAAAATGTACTTATGTCATTTCCATACTATAGCTCAGACCAAGGACAGTTAAACCAAGTAAATATACAGGTATTTGATTAGAACCCTCAACTTCCTATCTTATACAGGGTTATAGATAAAGACTCATACAGAAAAGATCCTATATAAAGTGGAAGCACCAATAAAATATATTAAGAGGAAAAAAATTTATACATCGATGGCATTCCAGACATCAATCAAATAAGCAACTGAAATACCTGCTGCAAGTCAGTGCGATAACAGTTTTAATGATGCCATCAAGCCTCAACTTTTGCTTCTTCCTTGTTATGTCAATGGAGATCTGAACTGGTGTACCCTGTGGATAATCCTTCACAGCTTTGGTGACTCGTAATCCCATCACTGAAGCCTTAGATTTCGAGACCTCTGTTGAAAGGTTCCCCAATCCAAGCCTCTCTAACGTTGTGCAATACTCAACATGTGATATGGAAGCGTTTCTCTTGTAAATAACTGCCCCTTCCCAGGGGGACCCTGTCTCGTCTTGATCACCCAAATCAAGAAAAACTGCACCTTCTCCAGTGAAGGACTCATAATTTGGTTTTGTGCAATTCGTTACAGTAGACCTTAAAATACTATTTGGTTTTCTTGTTGAAGTTGTATGGATATTTTCAGTAAGGCAAAATGTATTTTTGCAACGAACAAAAGGAAAACATGGAGTTGTCATAGTATTTTCGCACGCTCTTAATTTAGAAACCCTATGGCTGCTAAAATAGGAGGAGGTGATTATGAAGGATGAGGTGACTACAAATGACATTATAGTTTTAGAATTTGTCCAAACTTCTACTAACTACAAAAGGGTACGGGGCATAGTGTGAAATGCTTGATATCAAAAACTCTCAGCAGCCACTTACACTGATTAATTAAGTAAATTAGAGAGGAAACGCTGCCAGTGAATAAGGGCAACCATGTCTGCAAGAAAGTTAGAGATAGTTCAGACCAAAAGGAAAATGAGCTTTATGGGACTGCAGGAGACTACACAACATTAAGTTCACTTATGTTAAAGTAAGTCTGGCCGAAAATTTCAGCTAGGCATTTCATCAAACGACTTATGAGCGGAAAAAGCTCAAATATTTTTATCTTCTTCCACAGAGAAATTGAGAGAGAGAAATTTGACATACAGAAAATCAGCAAATACAAGCACAAAATGCATACAAACACAAATTACATTTCGAAAAGGCTTGAAGAAGACGAACGAGGCAGTATATAAAGAGAGAGAAGAGCTAAGGGTGCTTACAGTGACGATGAACGCTTTATCTTAGGTGAGAAACAGAGCTACAGAAGGAATTGTTAGCTTCGCTTCTTTGCAAAGAGAGATTTTATCTGGTTAGAATTAGCAAATGGGCCCAGCCCCGCAACTGAGCCCGCCTTATTTCCTTTTCGGGCCAACTGCCCGCCTTATTATTATTTTTTCGGTTTGGGTTGAAATTGAAACATTTTGAATTAGTTCAATTTAGACCTCAAACTGGTTTCATTTGATTGATTTCCCATTATAAGCAATTTATCAAACAACACTATTACATATATCAAAATGAACTTTATACTATAAATCAAACAATATTTTAGAGAAATTTATATAAGAGCATGCATAAGTAGAAACGATGAATTAGGGATTTTAGTTTTCCCAATTAAAGGGTCGATATCAAGCGCGGGAATGAGACATGCCAATAAAGGTCACAACCAAGACAAAAATGTCATAACAGTTAAGAATATTTATACCATAACAGTTAAGAACATTTAAACAAATGATTTGGTTTGGTTTGATTTGGTTTGGTTTAGACGGCCGGCTCAATCACATAGTACACTTTTTCGTACCATTTTTCGCGTGTAGAATTCACTACAAGGCCTTTTTTAATTCTTTTGGGAATGCACACAAGTTTCTATCAAAAGGCAAGTCCGTTTCTTTCTTCTTGATATCGACATACTACATTCAAAAATAAAATAGAACTAGCAAATTCAACAGAACAAGTACAGTTTTTATTTATTTATTTATTCATTTTTGGTCTGTAGAATTCCATTACATTTCTTTGCATCATTAGATTCACAATACACAGAGTTCAGTTCACCAACAAAATAAACCTCCTCCTCTGCCTTTCCTCCTCACTCATCAATCTCAATTACGACACGATCTTCAACCTCCAAATCATTGTCACTCAAAACGAGCGTCTTGGAACCCTTACACCTAAACTTAGAGATATGAGAAGCAAGCTTCAAAATCTCTTCATCACGCTCGTCAAAACCCTCGCACTCCCTCACATCCAGAAGCACAAGCTCTCTGCACTCCTTCAGCAACATCACAAGATCGTTCTTACCCAGGCACGACTGCCTCAAGCACATGTACTTCAAATTGGGCACAAATTTCACGATCGCAGAGGCCTCGCTTGTGCCAATCGTGGCGTCGGCCACGTGCAGCCCAACGAAGCCCTTACAGTTCTTGCTGATGTGTTCCAGTATTTTTTCAATGGCGTTCACGTAGTGGCTGCAAATCCCGGGGATTTTCAGAAACTTGGCGTTGCCGCCGCTGCGATTGATGACCATTTTGATGAAGCTAGGGATTGAGAAACGGCTCCAGTTGATTTGAAACTCGCGCGCGAATCTCCTCACGAAGTAATCGAAGCGCTGGCCTTCGATGTGGTTGGCGTAGGTCCATGGAAGATTGGCGGCATTGTCGTCGAGGCTCCATGGATCGTCTGTAGCTTCTTCTTCGCTGTCTGGGAAGACGAGGCGTTCCCAGCACACGGGGTTCTGGCTCGCTCTGTACCAGGACTTGCAGACGAAGGGGACGAACAAGAGCAGAGACTCAATTCCGACTTTGACGAAGACGTTGGCCAAACAGTCTGGGTCTAGATCCTCCCATTTTCGATCTCTCTGGCGCTTGGAATTGAGATTGAGGAGCTTGTCCATGGTGGATTTTGGGTCTTTTTCTGATTCAGACGGATTTGATTTGGCAATTGCTTCTGGAGGATTCGATTAAAGAGGAAATCGATGCCTCTGTGTCTCTGTTTAGGGTTCTTTTACTCGAAAGAGTAAAGTTTATAGTTGACGGCAGCTGGGTCCAAAAAATATAAATACTCGTTCTTTTTAGGAAAATTACCCATTTGGTCCTGTGATTTTTATAATTTTAATAAAATGTATTTTTTCATATATAAGGGGATATGGAATATTCGACTCATCTTCTAATTTTGGAAAGAAGCCAAAATTTTCATTAAATAATTAAATGCCAAAAAAAAAAACAACTAAGTCTGTGATTTACTTAGAGAGGTCCTGTAGTTTGTGTGTAATTTTTTTTTTCTCATTTGTATCACTATTGTTTTAAAATTTTCAATCAAATTCTTGTGATTAGACTTAAACGTTCTCATGTGCTTTTCTGCCTAATTGGAAGT